ATGAGGTGCAATATAGGCAGTAAACTTCCCTCAGGCCACCGTACAGCAGAGCATGGCACTGTCATCCAAGCTGAACAGATGTGGACAGGTACCTCCACATATCCCTGTGCAGTTCCTTTCAGAAGAGAATAGCTGCCTGTGTCACCAAGACCATGTCTGTTAGTTTAGGGACAGCCATGTGATACTGCACTTGCATTGCCCTGTAAAAAAAAAAAAGAAAAAACTGTCCTGGTGCTTGCTGGGATATTTCTGTTCTACCATACTGTAGAATATGTATGCTTTAAGTAGAAAGTACGTTCACCATCTATCTTTTTAATATGGTGTTCTGCTGATTTTTGTGATATATCGTGTTCTGAAGGGCTTTTTTTATTTTTTGTGAGCTAAAAAGTTGTGCCAGAATTACTGAAAGCACTCAAAAGTCTGGAAATGAATGCATGTGAAAAGAACAACTTGTTATTTGAATAAGTTTGCCTGGAGGGGAATTGCTAAAGTTTTACTAAAATTCCATTCCCTTCCTTCATGTTAATTAAATTAAAGCTTAGGGGGGGACCATAATATAGTAGTGTGATATATCTGGGATGCAACTGAAGAAACAAAAAGCCATCTTATCTCCCTTGGCTTGTCTGTCTTCTTACTGAAGCTTTGAGATTTCATTTATAATGACTGCTTTTATTCAGAACTTTGCATTTCCACCAAATGAAATGAAGAGCACTTTGACAGGAAATGCAAGTTGCATAATCTTTGCAGAAGCCCATGCCTGAATCCATGCTCCATTCTTCATTCTGCTGCTTGATATGGCATCAGATTTCTTCTGTCTTGAAATCCTATCTGACCATTGCCATCAGGCCATCAGAGCCACATTTCTTTCAGTTATAAATTGTTCCTATAGTAAACAGGGATTAAATAGTATGTTTATGGCATCCATTCAACAAAATCAACCCAAGAGGTCATATTATTCTCTGAATTCTTAATCTCAGACATGAACGCAGCCTGGGAGAAGAACTCTTTGAGAGCGAACCTGTGGGGAAGGATTTGAGGATTCTGATGAACAAAAATCTGGTTATGAGCCAGCATTGTGCTCCTGCTGCCTGGAAGGCCAACAGCAACCTGGCATCAAGAAAGGGGTGGCCAGCAGGGACAGGGAGGTGATTGTCTCCCTCTGCTCAGCTCTTGTGAGGCCCCATCTGCAGCACTGCGTCCAGGGCTGGGTCCCCCAGTACAGGAAGGACGTGGAGCTCTTGGAGCGGGTCCAGAGGGGGGCACTGAGATGAACACAGGGCTGGAGCACCTCTCCTATGAGGAAAGGGTGAGGGAACTGGGCTTGGAGAGGAGAAGGCTCAAGGGGGACATTGCAGTCTTCAGTACTTGAAGGGAGCGTACAAGCAGGAGGGGGACCAACTTTTTATGTTGTGTGATAGGGACAGAGCAAGGGGAAGTAGCTTTAAACTAAATGAGGGGAAATTTAGGTTAGATTGTTTTTGTTTTTGTTTTTTAAAGCAGAGTGTGGTGATCTGCTGGAGCAGGATGCCCAGAGAAGCTGTGGTTGCCCCATCTCTGGAGGTATTCTAGGGCAGGTAGGATGGGATCCAGGGCAGCCTGAAGTGGTGGTTGGCAATCCTGTCATGGCAGAGGGGTTGGAAAACTAGATGATTTAAGGCCCCCTCCAACCTAAGCCGTTCTATGATTCTACGAATCAGTCTTCTCAAGCAGCCTGGTGCAGTGAGTTAATGCAATAGCAGCAGTTTTCCTGCTTTTTCGTTCATTTTCACAATTGGAAGCAGCGACTTCTGGCTCTTCTGTGCTGGGCCACATGCAGGCACAGCAGGAGGCCCTTGGCTCCTCTGACTGCATTTGCTGTCCAAACAACTGCTCCTCACCCCCTTGTCAGAAGAACCAGTGGGCAGAAAGAAATATTATGCAGGCCAGACCTGGCTAACAGGCCATGAACTGGAGCAATCTGATCGAAATACATGTTTAATTGAGGCTTGTTTCTTGAATTTCTGGCATGAAATAGAGCACACGCTTTTCTGGTTTAGAGTGATTTCAAATTTTGCACGTTTCAGTTTATGAACACCTCAGTAAAATTCAATGTCACTCAGACTTTCCAGAGGTTTCTTAATCCCATGTGAGGTCAGGAATGCATACTTCAGATAGTCCTCAAGCAGGCCTGAGTGCGTTGTATGGCATTTGTGCAATTTATGACTGCAGTCGTATCAGCCGTGGTCATTTCTGGAAAACTGTACTTTGCTTGTTTGCGTTTGTTTTCCTTGCTTGTTTTCTCCTAAAATATTGGCTTTAAGTCTGTATATAGAAATGAAAGTGTTTCATGTGCGAAATGCAAGAAGTTGCCCTCAGGGCTGTGCTTATGCCCTAAGTGCCTTTCAGGAGTGAATCTCCGAGTTCTACCAGCTGGGCAGGATCTGTGTAGGGGCACACGTATAGGCAGTATGCCAGGATTGGCAGTGGGCTTCAGTGGCTGTTCTCGGTAATTCAGTGCAGAGTTTGATCTTCTTGCCCAACCCGGATATCCACAAATTAGATCCCCATTCAGACACACATAGGAGACCCATAACATTTCTAAACTTATCTCAAAATTTCCCTGGACCAAATTCCTGTCAGAGTATTTACCTGTTTCTCTATGTTGCCCCTGCTGTTTATTTAAATAAGAGATGACATTTTACCTCTTCAAGTTGAACAACAGCGCAATATTGAGAAAATCTCTTAAAGAAGCTTCTGCTGCACTGTCCTCCAGCAGCAGTCCCATTTTATTTGTGGAAGATAAACCCTTGGTAAGCAAATGGGAAATGAAGTTTTATGTAACAGGAATCATTTCATGAGAAGACACTTAAAATTCTGTTTATATTTTATGCACACATCCAGTTAAGTTTTTCTTGGCCCCATTATGCAAATGAATTCATCCATCCTAACTCAGGAATTAATTAGTTTTCCTAGTATTCTCATCATGCTGGTACTAACATACCTAACACTGAAAGAGTTTTAGATTCTCCAAGATAACATTTGTAGAATACTGTTCTGACTTCAGAACATAAAGACTGAAATAGGAATAAGCATATTTAGGGATTGATGAGTTATGAAATTCTACTAATCTGTAACTATTACTGGCACTTGTGATGCATTCTGATACTAGGTATGATAGGCCAACTGCCTTCTTCTTCTCTCTCCATTTAGAACACCAGGAGCCAAGGAGGAGATTATAAGACAGAGTATAGAAAGGGATCAGACCCTTTACCTGCAACTCCATCAGAACGTAGATACTTAAACATCTTCAGATAGGTCATTTTAGAATAAGGAGTCTAACAAAGCATCAAGATGTCAGCAGTAGTAGAGCTCTGGAAGAAATTTTTCCAAAAGGATTATGTTAGCTGCTCAGACAAGATATCATCTTGAATGGTCAGAGGCCAAGGATCAAGCCACAAAGCTAAAAGAAAGAGAATCAGACTGTATGACGTTAAGTTACAACTAAGAGCCAGCCCTCAATAGGAAGGAAACAGGTAGGAATTGGAAGACGTTTTTTGGCAAAAGTGACATCTCCTTAGATATTAATTCTGTCTGATTGCGCCCATTTTTTAGATGTACAGTATGCCTAGCCTTGTTGCATAATTCTGGTAGTATGTTTATGAATAAAAATGTATAAATGGGAGCTTTTTTCAGGAGTCTTGCCAAAGGTTGATCACAATCAGCCTTACTGTAAGTTGCTGCACTGCTGAACACAGTGCAGGTCCCACTGGTTACCTAAGATGTGGTGATCCAGTAATCTCCTAGGTTAGCTCTCCTGCACAGAATGAATCTTGACTAGATTTGCTGTTGGAGTTTTCTCATTGTTTGAGTTTCTCATTTGTAAAGGTGAATCTGTGACTGAAGTCAGAAGATGCACTAGGTATTACATAGGCAGAATAGGCCTTATTTGAATCTTACTTCGGATGGAGCCTTGGGCAGCCTGGTCTAGTGGGTAGCAACCCTGCCTCTGTCATGGGGGTTGGAACTAGATGATCTTTAAGGGTTCTTTCAACCCGGGCCATTCAGTGCTTCTATCATGATTCTATGATTCTATTATGATTCTGTTAGAGAAATTACCATCATATATTTTTATTATCTATGGATGACCTTGGTCAGACTTTAGCAGTATAGCAACAGTTTGGAAATTGAAGCTGAGAAGATGTGTAAAGACCCATTTTGAATTACAGTTGGCTGACTTTTCAGCAGTCTTTGAAATATTCAGAATGGTTTGGAAATGGGACTTAGTCTCCTAAGTGCTTTTTAAAAGCAATTAGACAAAAGTGTTGTAAAACTGAGGGGCGTGAGTTAAAGGGATACAGCTCAGTGGTGTTTTTTTTTCCTCTTCATATATTCTCCATGTTTGGGGTAGATCACATTCTCAAGAGTCTGTGCATGAAGGAGTAGACAGATGTTAATTCATTTCTTTTGAGTGCTGCAAGATGGATGTATGTCACCTCTTCTTTCTCCTCTGGAAGCCCTTGAAAAGCATAATGAGAAGCCAGGAAAAATAGATTTTCATATCCCTTTGTCCATCTCAGTTGTTTCTGATGTTCAAGAGATGAACATTCTAGGCAGAGTTAGCCAAACTCTTTGTGCTCCTGCTTATGGCCCGCCGTCTTGTTACTGTTTCCAGTGCAGCACTTTCTTTGTCCCCTAATACCAGACATAAAGGGTAGAAAAGGCAGTCATAATTTAGTCATCTCCACCAGCTTAATTAAAACAGGCTTGTGTAATCATGGCAATCATGCCAAGAAATTTTATCTGGCATAATTTTTTGTACCACCTGTACATTAGTTCCTCTCCACAATCCTCATTCACACTAAGCTTTCCAGGAAAAAGCTTTTCATATTTTGCATCCCAAGAATAATAAAAAAATTGAAACAAATTATTTGCAGAGTTTTAATTCCAGCCTATTTCTTCTTCCCTTTCAACTTAGCCTTTAGCAGCTTTCTCCAAAAGTGTTCTTTTTGCTTTTCTTGCAGACTGTATGTGGACGGACCTTTTGGAAGTCCCTTTGAGGAATCCTTGAACTATGAAGTAAGCCTCTGCGTGGCTGGTGGTATTGGAGTTACACCATTTGCATCAGTTCTCAACGCTCTGCTGTAAGTGAACTTAAACTTTTTAAAGCCATTTCTTCTCCCTTACCAATTTTCCATAATAGTACATGTCAGAAGGGTTCTCAGAGTATTTCAAAACTTAGCGTAGCACAAGTGAATGTTTCCTTGAAGAGGGGCAGAGGACTAGGGCATCTGGGAGCGTAAGGAATCTCATGGGTTATGTAAACCAGAGTTTGGCAGAGTTGTGCTACTAATGCACATCAATTGGACAATAGCATAATATTTATACCCTTACACTAGATGGACTATGATTGATGCTTGCTATAACCACAGACCCTTCAGCTAGATTTGTTGCCCAGCATCTGCTTAGAGGAAGCTGTGGACTGTGATAGAGTCTATTTTTCAGTCAGTAGTTTGTGACAGTCTTTCAGCTGGAATTGCAGGCCAACTCTCATGTTTTGTTTGAATTTTGTAAGTGTGCACCCTTAGGGTTTTAGAGGAATGGACTTGACATGGATTCAGATAGTGTTTGGATTTTAACTCTATCTGAAAATTTAAAAATGTAGATATGCCTTTTTCTCTACTTTCTTCCCTCTGTATTAAAATGAAACCTTTGAAATTCTCTTCAAACCAAACCTTTCATCTCTTGCTTCTCTGTCACACTGGCAACATGGATCCCCAAAATGTTACGCTGCATGAATTAGGCTTGTTTTTATGATTGTTGTTGATGGGTTTTTTTATTTTTATTTTTTCCTGGAATGTTAGCTCAGATCTTCAGTCACTTAAGAACCCCCATTTCACATCACAGCCAATCAAAGCAACAGTCCTTCCCTGAAGTCTCAGAAGGCTGGATGGCTTTGGGAACGCTTTACAGTACACATCTGATGCATTTATACTAAGATGGATGTGCCAATGTGCAATTCTAGCAGTGTGTTATTAGATGCTATAAGAACTCGTGCAGATACTTAGCATCCAAAAACTTCAGCAGTCTGTTCTTTCGGTTAAAGCCATAAATAAGTTTCCAAACAGCTCATCCTATAATCTGACTTTGTAGCCCATCTTCCTCTTGTTCACTGTAACATTATACAGGGGAATAATTCTATGATTCCAGACACAAAAAAAAACAAAACACAGAACACTCTCAACCTGCTTTCATTCTCAGTATTTAAACATCAACAACAAAACGCCAGTGTCCTGGACGAGTTGCCTATTGTCATTGCCCTGGCTGAGAAGAACTTGGCAGGTGTGAAAATGCAAACTGCCTTAGGATGCCAGTGCTGCAGAGCAGTGAAGCCAGTCCTGTGGTGTCAAGGACATGCAGACCTCAGAGAGATCAGAATCCTGTCAAGCAGGAAAGTCGTTTGTTTCCTGCTCAATTATGTTCCTGTTCTGTGTTCTCAATTTAATTCCTGCCCTTCACTGCACTTGACTCCTGAACCGTACACCCTATTTTTAAGAAATCATGACTTACATTAAAGAAAGCTGGTGGCTTACAACAGGAGGAGCTTTAAATAATGGCTGCTATTATGGGCAGGGGTAACATTTAAAAATGTGTGAGAAGTACTGTATACATCTGGATTTGTTTACAGTGAGAGATTTCACCTTAATATATCCTCCTGAAGTTAGACCCAAGTGTGTTTATCTGAGTTGAGATTTTAAATTTATGCTTGACTTGTTTCCTAAAATCTTACAGTCCAGCTGCAGTGTTTCATCACCAAGAGTAGCGTTCTGTTGCTGAGCTATAGTAATTCCTTACAAATTCCTTACATTTTTCTCTTTTATCCTTTTTTTTTTTTTTTTAATGGTGAAAGGCACTTACTTTCCTCACTACTGCTTATGGTTATCTTGTCACATCTGACCAGACTATGACCCTTTGTAAGGGCTTGTACTAGAAGCAATCAGAAGAAAATCCTGAGTAGGAGGAAATCCTACTCTACAGGTCAACAGCTTACAATTGTAAAAGCTGTAGTTAGGACTTGGAAGACACACTCCCCCCAGTCTTGATGCATTTTCTTTTTATGTGACCTGTGAAATATGAGTTCTCAGCCTCAATATGTTCCTAAGAATATCTCCATCTTTGCTTCTTAGGCATATACTGTAAGTGAAGGGCATGGGGAGGTAGAACAGTAGCTGGATCTATCATTTATGTGTATCTGTTAGTACAGTACCTGACTGAGTCTGCAAGCAACTTTAATAATATGGTGGGTTGTGTTATGAAGCCTTTTTACTGAAGCTGGCTCCTGGATCTGGTTTTTGAAGTCAGCAGTCTGTGATCTTCTCAGTCTGAAAATCTGTGTAGAGGATGTGGACACAAACTGTTCACTGGACATTTCAATGTTCAAAACAACAGCAGACAGCATTGGCTAGCTAAGAAAAGATTTCCTAGACATTTTTGTTTGGTTTAAACTCATTAATCATTAGGGTTATTTTCATTTCTGTTTCCTATTCCAGTTTGTTCCAAAAGTTCCTTTGTGCTGCAGTTGCATTTTGTTTGCTTTCGAAATCTGACATAATATTCATGTTTTGCTAAACAAAATGTCAGAATCTGTCCATGACTGCACTTTATCACCAGCATTTTGGAAGGACTGTAGCGTTTCTTACAGTTGCCTGGAACAATGGAGCTCTAATTTGAATTGGTCTTTGTGATTCTGCTGCTGTATTATAATCAACCACAGGCTTTCACATTTATTGGCAGAATTTAGTCCTGACATTACTGTGTTTGTCAGTATTTTTCTCCTAGGGGTTGCTTTATAAATCTAATAAACATTTGACATAATACACTTGAACTTAGAATGTCTGCTTTGCTTTGAAATAAAAGTCTGACGATGGTGGTGCATGAATCCATATTTGCAGCCCAAATTGTCTGTATACTTGACATCTTCCAATGCAGAAACACATTCTGTGAGGGGTGTTGGTCATGTGCTTGAGATTTATTATTCTGATGATCATCCACATGGACTGTGCTGATCATTTCAGTGTCTGATAGATCACAAAATGAAAAACAGCTTTGCAGTTGGCTTCTAATGCGTTTCCACAAATGAATATAAAGCATCTTAGTTGACATTCTCTTCTTGAATGATAATTTTTAATTCTTCAAACATCTCATTTTCAAGTGATGACTGGAAATGCTACAAACTGAGAAGACTCTACTTCATCTGGGTATGCAGGGACGTCGAATCTTTCCGCTGGTTTGCAGATTTGCTCTGTATGTTGCATAACAAGGTAATAGGTGTTGCTTGGAAGGATGCTGATAATGTAATAAATGCAAAATTTGTTCACTCTACAGCTGGCATGCTATAGAGAATGCAAGCAAACTGCAGCTTTGCCTGAGTTACCTGACCCACACTCCATTGTGCTTGAAGCTCCACAAAGCAGTTTGAGTATATCTCATAGTATTTCACTGCATGTTATTGCTGGAGAATTATCTGTGAAATTTATGAGATAGGAGAAGAACATGCCAAGTCAGGGAGTCTGAGTGGCTTTTGCTTTTTGGTTCATACACAGATTGAGAAGGGAGAGGGTTTTACAATTTTAAGTGGATTTTAAAAGCAGTGTAGCTTTCTAAAATAATACTTTGTTCACAGCCTGATGGGCAGCATTCTGGACTGCACAAAGGGATAATATGCAAGCACGTCTTCGTTAAAAAGCTTACTTCACTGATGCTGAAACTTCAGTCTATCAAGATAGTAGTCACAAGTTACTTTATACTTATATTAAAAGAAAGGATATTATTTCACTAGCTGTTTTTATCGTCCTCCCAGCTCTGGCAAGAGAATCGACCAGACTATATAAACATCCAGCTGTACCTCAGTCAAACAGATGGAATACAGGTATGTGGTTAAAAACTGTTTGTAAACCAAACTAGACCTTGGGGTAGCAGACAATGCAAACTGTCAGTCATATGCAAAAGAGAGTTACTGCAGATGGCCAGAACAGGAAATGAGGCTATAAACTCTAGTGATTGATTCATTAGTAGGGCAGGAGAGCAAGTTCCTCCCCACAGCATTAAGAGAATCTAGTCTAGCAGTCTTAACTTGATTATGTGTGGGCAAAAATCCATATCTTCTTTTTCTAGGAAAGAGGTCCTTCCAGGCCAGGCCACAGACCAGACAGTTGGCAGGTTTTGATGGGAAATCTAAATCATTGCTGGGCTAAGAATCAAAGCAGGATAGTTGTAGGAGCGTGGTGGCTCAGATCTCCTTCTGAACTAAATATTTTGAGAGAAGCTAGCTACTTTTGAAAGCTTCTGATCGGTTTTGTCTGAGATATAAAAGTTACAAATTCCTTGATGCATGAGACTGGAAATTATACTGAACTGTCAATTGTCATACTATAAACCACAGTACTGTGTTCATTCCTCTACTCCTGTAATCTCCCATAGCTCTTTATGCTTATGATCTTCATTTTACATTATTTAGCACACAATCCTGAGCTTGATTGTTCTGCATCTGGAAGCTTCACCATTCACTGCCACAGGCCCAGGAGTGAGCCTGACAATTACTGCAAAACATGAAATGCAGTGAGAAGCCATGCCCAGAGAATTTTGATCTACCTGGTATCAGGTAGAGGCAGAATAATATTTACAGCTCCAGCACAGGCACTTTGCAATAGTTTAGATAATGTGATAGCTACAGCAGTTATGAACAGATTTAATGCCTGGATGACATGTCATCTTGAATGGACTGCTTGAAAATTACCTAATTGTGAACCTGGTAAGCAGTAAGGTTAAAATTAAAACTTGAAGCAGGATTGTGTGGCAAAGACACAGCAAGATTGTAATAACAGACAATTCAGCGTAAGTTTTCTGATACTGTGTTTGAAGCAGATTCTGAATTTATTATTTAAGTCAACTTTGTTTTAAGTTTTCCTTTAAAGTCACTTTTCTTTTGTGGCTGTTGAACAAAGCTGGCATGAACTATAATGCTGCTCATGATTTCTCAAGGGGATGTTAAAGTCTACTCTCCATTGTCTTACAGCTTATGTGTTCACTGAAGTCAGTCCAAGTACTGACTGCTACCAAAATCAGGGCAGTTTCATTTCATGCTCCCTTTGCTCAGGAGTAGTATGCCAGTGTGTCAACGGGCAGTCAATTCCATCCTTCAGCAAATACCTCTTGAGTATAAAAGGCCACTGGAGGATGAGTTGGCCAAGCCTGTATTTGCATTGGCATGAGCCATGTTTCAGATCATTCAGCAGTGGAGGGAATGTGGGAGCCTGGAGAAGATGTAATTCCCCTCTCCATTCCTATTGTAGTGGATCACAAAACCTAGGAAAGGTAATGCCTTGCAATGGAAGGGCATTTGACCTTCTAAAGTGCTGGTGAGCTAGTGCTGCTGGAATGAGTTGGGTTCCACATGGGGACTGATTTTGGCTGTTTTCTACTGTTGAAGCAGCACAAAGCAGCTGGCAAATGACTCTCAGGGAGAAATGGGAGATTTCCCTAGTTATGTTTTCAGGCCTGGTCTTAATAGTTATTTGTATGAAGTGGAAAAAGAAAACAAAACTACAAAACAAATAAAATTTTTGCATCAGCAGTGTTTCTTCCAGCTAAGCATTAAAGGCCAATGAGGGAATGAATAATAGGAGCACAGTTACTGTTTTGTGGTTCAAATAAATTGGTTTAAAAATAATGAGTAGATTAATGAGCAGCTGCATGAAGTGTATAGCAAACACCAAGGAGACCCATTGAAAAGGCAGTGAGCAGAGGTGATGCATGAAATAACTCCAATTTTAATCACAACTGTCTGATACTTGTGTTCAGGTTTTACACCTCATCGATATGTCAGGTTGGGCAGTGTCAGAAATGGGATCCCTGGGTAATCTGAGGCAATCTGCAAATCAGGCAGTATGGAATTTTTCTTTTCTTGCAGAAGATAATTGGTGAAAAGTATCAAGCTCTAAACTCAAGGCTTTTGATTGGACGGCCCCGGTGGAAACTCCTTTTTGATGAAATAGCAAAGTATAACAGGCGGTGAGTACCAGTCTTCTTGTAGGATGCCACAGTCTGAAGAATGGGGATGTTAGGTCTTTGCAGCTGTGTTTGTATGAAAATGTTTTTTGAGTTTTATCTTAGAGTGTAATGTTCAAGGTAGTAATGTTGAAATTAGCTAGTATTTTTGCTGTGAGAGATTGCCTGCACAAACTGAAACATGGGTCAGGGCAATCCTGAGCACAAATTCAGGCTGGGCAGAAGTTGTATTGAAAGCAACCCTGAGGAGGATGTCTTTTGGGAGCTGATGGACGAGAAGCTCAACCTGACGTGGCAGGATGAACTTGTAGCCTAGAAAGCTAACTGTATCCTGGGCTGCAGTAAAAGTAGTGTGGCCAGCAGTTCAGGTAGGTGATTGGCCACTTCTGTTTTTCCTCTTGAGACCCCACCTGCAGTAGTGCATCCAGGACAGACAAGAAGGATGTGGAGCTGTAGGAGCAAGTCCAGAAGAGGGCCGTGAAGATGCTTAGAGGGCTGGAGCACCTCTCCTTTGAAGACAGGCTAAGCTGGGCTTTTTCAGTCTGGAGAAAACTCCAGGAAGACCTCAGTGTGGCCTTCCAATACCTAAAGGAGCCCACAGAAAAGCTGAGAAGGGACTCTTTGTCAGGGACAGATGAAAGAAAAAGGGGTAACAATTTTCATCCAGATAGTGAGATATAAGGAATAAATTATCCACTGTAAGAGTGCAGTGAGGCACTGGGACAGGTTGCCCAGATGAGCTGTGAATACTCCATTCTCAGAGGTTTTTGAGGCCAGTTTTGATGGGGCTGTTGGCAATTTGATTTAATAGGACATATCGCTGTGCATGAAAGGCAGTTATAACTGGATGATTATAAGGGCCCTTGCAACCCACTTTTTCTGTTAATTTTTGATTTTTTAAAAGCTCAAAATACTTCATCTTTTCATGCAGGTTGGGTATTCAGTGGCCCCAGAAACAATACTGATAGATTTCCATCTCACTCCACAGAGGTTGTGTATTCTTTATCCACTACAATATCTCACTTGCAACCTAAACTGTTTTTACTATAATTTCTGTGATTTATATCACTGGATTACAAAAAAATAAATTGCATGAGAAAGACTCTGACTACCCTGTATTGTTTTTATTCTGAGGATATATTGTCTTTGGGGATTTCTGACACTTCTTTGTTCTTTGTTAAGACCTGGCAATGCTTTTTTACTGTTCTATAGTTCAGTCTAAAACAAGACAATTGTAAACCAGAGAAAACATACATTTAGACCATGGAATATATTTTCCAGATACAGCTTTATTGATTGGTTATGTGACACCCTACTGACACCCTCAAAAGCTGGTTTCAAAGAAAAGATCATACGAGTTTTCCCTATTCCACTTCTGTCAAAGTCAGTAGGGTAGGAGCAGGCTACCTGCAGTAGCTGTCAAAGGAAATGTGGGTGCACCTGTGTGAGAGGTACTCTCCTAGTCTCATTCACTCACGTCAAAAAGATTTTGTCTTCTGTTTCACTTCTGACCTGTTGCCCATGGCTTATTGATTCTTCTGGAGCTGAATATGAGTATGGAATATTGAGCCTTGTATCTTGAGTAATATTAAGTAAGCTGTATGTTGCACTGTTGGTAGTGAATAAAGTGCTGCTGATATGTATGTTGGGTTCACATCCTAGAGGAAGGATGTTGTAGAAAGGGTTCCTTGCCCGGAATGCCTCAAAGACTGATGCAAAGCAGGTGAATACCACTTAAATAGGATTTTGTAGTAAAGATCCATGGGAAGGAAAGTTAAATAGAGAGGGCAGAAAAGCAAGTTGGCTTTGTCTCAGGCTCCTGTATAGAGAACTGTTAGCCTTTTCTGGTACGTTCCAGTATCTTTTTTTTGTTTAACCGAGTTTTATAAAATAAAAATGGAAATGGTGGTGCTTCTGCCACTTCCTTGCAAGGTTGCAATAGCACAGAATATGGATGAAGCTTTTAGTGGTAGTCCTACTTGCTTTTTCTTTTGTGCTTTCTGTTGCATTATACGTAATTAGACCTTTCAAGTGCCATTTGCTCTGCATTTTCATGTCAGGTCTTTGAATTGTGCCACCATTTCTAAGTGAGATGTCTTTCATTTCCTAAATAATGTTCTGCTTATTTTGGTCATCCTGCAGCTGGCTGAGATGTAGGCTTTCTCACCATCTGTCATCCATTTACCACAATTTATAGATACAGGTAGTTCTTTATAGATGCAGTTACCTGTATGCTGATGTATGACATCTAGATGATAGATAGATAGTACGACCTGTAACTCAGTATCCCGGAGATATTCAGATGCTAGAGATGAATGTTCTCTCTGTTTCCCTGAAGAAGGCATTTTTCTCTGTAGTCTAAGTCTTCCAATTTTCTACTCTCCTACTAACTTTATTCCAATTCCTATTATTATTCCACCTAAACAACCCTGTTATATTATGGATACCAAAAAAAAGAAGCTGGGCAACCAAGTTTTTTCCAGCATCTGGTGCCAGTGTTCAATTGTTCACATGCATTTGTAATCAACCCCTTGGGTTTGTTTATGGGCAGCCAAGAAGGCAAGGTATTTTCCATTTTTTATCCTGTGATTTTAGGAAAAGCTGTGCATAAATAAACACACAGCTGGCAAACCTCTCATCAGTTTAACCATCTGATTGCTTTGTGGTTTGTGGATTGTTGCTGTTGTTGCTGTTTGAGTCCCAAATAGTCAAAGTGCATTTGTAAGTGTGAGCTTTGCCAAAGCTTCAGAGCATGACATTGGTCAACCCAGCATCAGGTTCCTAACTCTTTCCTCTGAAGAAAGCAGGGCAGACTCATGCCATCTACTGTTGATATTTTATATGGCATCTGCAGTCCCAAAGACGCACACTGGGACTTTATGTAATAAATTATTAGTCTTCTTTTTCTTGTTGTTTTGTTTTTTTTTTTTCCTAGGACAGAGCAGCACTTGTTTCTGGTCAGTTGTAGCCTGAGTGCAAAGCTTACACCATGCCAGTGCTGCTGTGCTTTCTTAGCTTTGTTTAGTTCAAGTAGATTTTTTGAGATGGATTCTGACCTAGAAAATGATATAAATATCCATAAGAAAGGAAGGCATGGAGCACCACAGTACGTTTCCTATGCACTATGATATTTGTCTCTATGAGGAATAATGTAATGTCAAATATGAGGAATATCTAACGTGGAATTAAAAAAACTGGAATATTTCAACTCTGAGTCTGTCGTCTTTTGAGTAGCAAAGTATATCAGTTTTCCCTGCAAGTAGGGACATGGTGGGCATAAGTAGGGCAGAATGTGGGAGGTGAATTGTGGGAGGTAAGTGGTACATGGAGTGATGTCCAGAATAGCCGTCAAGGGGAGTATCCCTGGGAATCCCTGGGGTAAAGGAATTAGTGTTTCTGGAGACCTTGTGAGTCAACCACAGATCTCTTGTGTTACCTTAGGCAGATCACTTCACTTTTCTGCAACTGTTTACCCTCCAGCCATTCTGTTTACTTTGGAACGATGTTGCTGGGATGGGGGTACATTAGCAGAATGTGCTGCTTAGACATTTGTACATTGCTTAGGTATGTCTGTGCTTGGGAGGTATGTATGAATGAAAATGAAAGGGAGAAAGGCAGATGAATTCTGGGTTTTATTCAGCAGTTGTCTATACTAGTTAGACTAATGAAAACAATAACATTCAGTCAAATGCACAGTAGGAAACAGATTCTTTCTGGCAGCTTGCACACCCTTTTATTCTCTGTGCACAGAGCAGAGGATGTTCAGATTCTTCTAGTGGAATTTTGTTTGAGGACAAGCAGTAGCTTTCTCATTATTTCTGCGAATCCAGCCACCAGTGCAACCATCCTTTGCCATTAAAAGAAGTTCTGCCAGGAGAGAGGAGTTTAGTAGATACATATAGGAATGAAAAAAAAAAGAGTATGAATATTTGCCATGGCTTGCTGTGAGAGCATTGTAAGGTGCCTGCACAATGACACAGTTGCTGTTACCTCTGTAACTTTGTGATGCTTTTTGATGGCTGAGTCCTCAGATGTGCTAAGCCAGTGTTTGTATTCAGTTATACAGCATGTATGCATGCTGTGCTTTTTGGGCTGCTGCTTAACGTTGAGCACATACACTTGGCAATATGCATCCAAGATTTCTTTTTCTATGCATTAATTTTCTGATTCTCTCACCAAATACGTATGCAGGCACCATTAAACTGTGCATTTGAGTATCCTTGTGTGCTAAGACATGTTATATTAGTCACTGGACAAATACTAAGATAGTCCTGAGGCAAGGAGCAGAATTCAAGTCTTCAGCCTCCTGTGAATGCTGTAAATCTTAATAGTTAGAACCATACTCGCTTTTGTGTTCTCTCTCCATCCCAGTAAATCATACAAAATTTTCTGTGCGATGCCACAATTTCAGCAGGAAGATGAAGAATTTCTTTTAATAATATAGAAGAGACAGCACTGTGTCATCTTTCCCTGCTCCATCCATACTCGTTTCTTCATCTGTAAAAAAAAAAAAGGAGGTGATGAATATCATGAGTGGCTCAGTCCTGCTGTTGTATACACGCCTTGTTCTTCTGCCTTGAGCCCTTAAAGGTAGTGTGACCATGAGTCTGACTTCAAGTCTGTGTTTAAAGTGACCAGAGAGCAAAGTGGTGATGTCAGCAGAGTGGTATGTAAAAGTTGGGTTAAGTAATGAACCTGACCTGATAGCTATTGATGATGAGCAAAGGTCTTATTCTTTTCTGGCTTTTCACAAGGCTTTCCAGTGCAGCTGATGGAGGAAAGACTGCATGCTGGTGTGAAATGAATGCAGTGAAGTTGTCCTGCTACTGCCAGAAATAATCATGTGTTAGTAGTGCTCTGCTTTCATTAGTGTAACAAATCATCACTAGTGGCTAGATCCCCTGCCAGTGTAAATCACAAGTTACAATGAAGAAGTCGTTACGATGAGACATGTTAACAAAAAAAAAAGTGATTAATTATAGAAGAAATGAGAGTGGGATGTATTAGTTTTTTCGTGCTTGGTATCTTGAGGCTGAGATGAGGTACTTTTTTGCAAGAGTTGTCACTGTCAAAATATGTAACAGAGTTTGATGCTAGGATACTGGCTTCTTTAATATGAGTTACATGACCTTATGAGCTGTTCTCACCCTGAAATCTTTGCACAGTGGGCATTTGTATAATTCAGTGAGACTTAGAATCCAGTTCTGTCAGTTGTTATAAGTCACTGCTTATTGGCAAAGTTGTAACTTTTTTCTTTTTTTTTAACAGGAAAACCATTGGAGTTTTCTGTTGTGGACCAAGCAAGATGTCTAAGATACTTCATAAACTGAGCAACAGCAGCAACCCTTACGGGACGAGGTTTGAGTATAATAAAGAGTCCTTCAGCTGAAAGTCTGTTGGACTTGGAAGAATCTCTAGAAGATAAAAGTGCAATTTTTTGTTCGTATAACTTTAAAGTTCCACTGTGGTTTAAACAGAAATGTACCAAAGAGTAGCACAGTTTTTCTTATTTATGATTATTTAAGACTCTGGAAAATGATGGATATGGCATTATACCAACAAATATTAAGTACTCATGCTCAAAGCCAAATGTGCTCACACAGTATTTGTGGCAGCGGTGATTCTTTGGAATTGTTTCTGTTAATTAAAAAGTACTAATGCTGGGGATAAATGCGGTTGCTTTAAAAGCCAGTGGAAGAAAAATCTGTGGAATGTTCTTCCACTTCAATCTTCTGAAGTTGGATCAATAAACGAAACCCCCAGGTTAATCCAAATGACAAGTCATAGGGCATTTCAAACAACTGTTGCTTTTGTTGGCCTATAGACCTTGTGACTTTGGAGTGCAGACACTCCATATTCAAGGTTTTATGCGTTACAAAACTGGGATTCTGTATTTCAAACATACTCTGTAATGGGTATCAATATTCCCACTTTGAATAGAGGAGAGAGGGAATTTAGGGGAAGATGTAAATCAACGTAAGGAAAAGTGAGCACAACAGCCCTAGCACCTTTGGGCAGACTCAGCCATGATGTATATCACAGCCTTTTGGCAAGGAAACAGCTGTACCTGGAAAACTCAGTATCTAGCATCAATTCAGCATTCAGTGAGTTTGCAGAATAAGTGTGATTTATGCAGCCAGAAGGATGGAGCAAGAAAAGCGATTAACAGGAGGAGACAGGATATGATGTTTTATTATACCACAGGCTCAGCATGGAAGTTGCACTCACTTTGCACTCACATGCCCTGAATGTCAAATACTTACAGCATTCAGATGTTCTTAGTGATTAATGTACAATGCAGCAGGCTGAAATCCTATTTTAGCAGTTGTGGAATGTCTTCGGTTGACTGTGGTCCTTTGACTACCATTGCTGGAGTCATGCTTGTTGTTCAGTCTCACTGATCTCTTGTTTGTTCAGTCCCATTGGTGTCCCTGAAAGCAGCATTAGTCCAGATCTGCAGCAGGGTAGGAGTAAAGCTTTCTTTACTGTGGCTCTTTGCATCTTGTGTACAGATACAAACTTTGCAGGATTTGCAGTTTTCAGTGTGTTCTAAAAGGGAGGGTCTGAAACATCCAAATTTAAGGTCTTCTTCCCTTCTCATTACCACAGCTGCTTTCCTGACTTCTCATAGTTGCCATGAGGTTGAAACGGACACTTCAAAACTTCTTTGATTCAGAGTAGCAGCATTTTACTTACTCAATTCAGTAGCCAAACCAATTTCTCTTATTTTCTCTTGACCTTCTTTCTCTTATTATTTTGCCAAGAAAGGGACATTTAAGCTGGAGTCAGTCACATAGTTCGCATAAGTACACCTCATTCTAGAGCATCTTAATACAACAGCATTGCTTTACTCTTGCTGAAAACCTGGCCCTTCAGCAGCTGCTCAGGAGCAAAGCCTGTAATGTCTGCAGCATGTGCAGGTCTATGATTGCTCAGCATCCCTCATAGCACGGTTCACCTGTATTTAGCACAGTGTATTTGATTCAGCATAGAGCTTTCCAATGCATGCATTTTTCATTTTAGTAAAAACAAATCAGTAATTTCTCACAGCACAGGCTCTATACAGGATTCTTCAAGTATGGGTTTCAGCGGACAGAGGCAAGCTTCTCTCTGGTAGGTGGTGTTGTGGCATGTTGTGTGTGTAACTAGTGAACGTGTATTTGGTCTTTTCCATGACAGTTTCTGCTCAGGAGTTGCTCAAAATGGTGCAGCTGGATTCAGTGCAGCAGCACGGCCCCGCAGGGATGTTTTTTACTGCCTGGACTTTGCACTGAAGTTCTTGCCTCTGACTCTGCTCAATTTGAAATTGAGGAGGGAAGGGAAGAGCCAGAGATGGACTAATTTCTACTGATGAGAATTCTTTAAGTAGCCTAGAGGAGAGAGAACCCAAAATTGAAGTGTGAGATGGAAGCCTACACTGCAGCTTGTGATTTTTATTTATTTATTTTTTTTAAGTCTGAATCATTATTTTCCCACTGGATCTCCTTCATCTTGTCCCTATAAACAAGAGGTACGCAGAACAGTACCAGTTCTTCTTTAATTATTAATATTTTTCCTTATACTGCCTGTGTGGATTTCATAATAAGCACAACACTGATGGCAAAATGCATAATCAGGTATTGCCTGTATTGCAGGCTTTTTTGTTTGTTTGCTGTTAGCTTAAAGCATGATTGAAATCATGACTGTGATTGAAATCACGACTCCATCTGTTAGCCACAACCACACAGTGATCATTTTTCTCTTGTTTTAGTATCTAGCATCTAATGATTTTTAAATATGGTATAGAGTCTGCTAATCTCAATGATGTTCTTTGTGGTTTCACATCTCCTCTGATAGCTACCAGTTCCCTTACTGCATAATGAGCAGTTAGTTTTGTAGCAAGCTCTGCGCTAATGCAGGTTATCCTTTCTGGCTCAGTTGTTACATAGGTAGTGCTTTATAATTAATAATAGCACTGTACTCTTGTGCTGAATTCTAGCAGGAACTGACACTGCGTGGAGGAATGTTATCCCCTGTTGTTACATTAGCAGTGCTGTCAGAGCAAGAAGCTGGCAGAGCCTTGTCCTGTGCCAAGCTCAGCTGACCCCAGCTGACAGGCTGGGGACTGTCTACCTGTCTGGAGAGTTGTGAGATGTAATGAATGTTACAGGATCTCTTCAGTGCACCTTTAGCAGGTTTCTGTAGTTGCTACTGAGCTGTATTTGTGTTCTATTTTTTGCAGTTTCTTTCATTTGACTGAACCTTTCTGTTGCTCACGTGGGTATTACTAGACTGGATGAGTGTGGGTTTGGTGGAAAGTTAAAGTTTCCATTGCTTTTTTTTCCTTTTCTTTGCACTGTGCTCTTTAGAGAAGCAGAAAGTCTAAGGGTGAGTGACTGTGACTTGACCTCAGCAGTGGCAAATGTTATTTATAAAAGCAGTTGGTTTGCATTCTCCTTGCTGCTTTGTAATGTTTCACTTTAGCTTGCAAAATCAAGCTGAACTTGCTTTTAAACTACATACAGTTTTTATATGTACACCAAATGTACATGAAAATATAACTCTTTGCCAGGCAAGTAAATGAAGGCTGGCAGCACCTAATTCCACTTTTACTGTTCAGTTGAATTTATGCTATTTAATGTCTCTTTACGTGTTACATTTGTGTCCTGGGAGTGAGTCTGCCATAAGCTTCCTGCTGACAGGGGAAGAATCCCACCATGTATTGTGCTACTTCTTGCTCACTTGTCCCAAAGCTACAGACCCTCAGTGGCATCTTTGTGCTTTATTCATCATAAATGTTTTGGGATTTTTATTTAAAACAGGAGGGTTTTCATGCCATGATCGAAGCCAAACCCTTTCTCTGCAAAGAAAACCCAGCCCAGCAATGTGAGAGCTGGAGCTTTGCACAGCTGCATTCATCAGACTTCCCCAGGCAGTCCTGGTCCCACAGCACTGAGCTCGCCTGTCTGAGTAAGTGTTTGCTACCATGGTGAAGGGCTGCAGAGATGAGCCATGGGAAGTAGCCTGCACCTCAGAGGCCTGCACTTCGCTCCATTCCTCCAGGATGGTTATTCCAGCCCTGAGTTTGGAGTCTTTTCGCCTTGCAACCCCGTTTCTGCTTAGAGCACTCAGTGTACATGATTTCTTCCTTGTCCTTTTATCTGCTCTTCTAGGAGACAGGATTAGAAGGACCGAGAGATCCCTGTGCACATCCTTGAACCTAGGCTGAGGAGAGGAGAGCAGGATGTACCACATCCCCCTTGCTGCTGACTGCACTGCTTAGAGCACTGGTAGAAATGTTAAGCCAAATCTGCTTTCCAACAAAACGCATATTGTTTTGCCACACCAAACTAGAGAACAGTTGCTGTGAAAGGAAAAAAAAGATAAATCCTTTCTGTTTGAAGACTCCTGCCCACATAAGCCTGATGCGAAGATGTATGGAAACACTGCGCATATTCAGCTTCCAGCAGCACTGGGGGTCACACACTGCATCCCTACAATGGTCTCTCTGCCTCAGCACTCAACTCCCACAATTATTCTTTGTTGCAGGTCTTCACCTGTTATTGTAGACTCACAGAATTGTAATCTCACTAAGTTCGGAAAAATCCTCTAAGATCATCTACTCCAGCTGTCCTTCTACCATTAATATTGCCCACTAAACCATGTCCCTAAGTGCCACATCTGCACATTCCTTGAACAGCTCCAGGGACAGTGACTCCACTAATTTCCTGGGCATCTTGTTCCAGTGCCCAACCACTTTTTGGTGAGCTTGCTTTTGCTCATAGGCAACCTGAACCATTCCTGGTGCAACTTGACAGCACTGATCTCGCAGAGAGAAGTACTATATATGCTTGTGTGCACACGGAGGCTGGTATAAACTCAGAGCAACTTGTGAGCATTCTCTGCAGCCAGGTGCAGAACTGTCCTTTTGCTTCTAATGCCTTTAACACGGAAGTGAGGAAGCAGTTTGGAGCTGACTGTGAAGGTGCAGATAATATGAGTGGTAGGCTGGCCTCCTGGGGAGTGGTAATTGAGCTGTAAAAGCCTAACAAATCCAAGAAGCAGCCTAAGAGAAAAGCCTCTGCTCAACACTGCACACCAGGTTGTAGTTTCAAACTACAAGAAGTTGCTTACAAAAGCCAGCAGGAGGCTAAGTAGTCATTGTCAGTAGGAGTCTGAGCCCCTTAAGTCAGAGCAAAGTTATTCAAATGCAATGTTTACTTGTTTAAAAAATAAAAGAGCTTCTAGGGAGATTAATTTTCACTTCAGTCTGGCAATCATTTCATAAACACGCCAGTGTGATTTAAGGCAAGCTGGATCTGTTCTTCTCTGGATTATGCATCTGATTTGTCTGCAGTTTCCCACTCCTCACAAATAAAAGCAGTTTTATTGTTTTAACAAAGAGGATTTTAAAGCAAAGTTTA